CTGTTGGCGAGCCTTGAGAGCGGCCTTAGTGAAGGCTTTGCAGTGTGGGCAAGTTTTGGGATTGTGCGATTCCCCCAAACAATACAGGCAAGTGTCGTGGCCGTCCTGGTGGGGAATTTTGCGGTCGCACACCACACACCTGCTGAATGGCCCGGAAGGGGACATAGGCAGTAAGCAAACCGAAAACGACTAATCCAAGGGATAAGGCAGAGCAGTCCGAAATCAGTCCGAATAAGCCAAGAATAAACCGAGTCGCCAAGTTAAGGGGAAAAGCGCTAGGGTAGTCCGTGAGCGAAGCTAGGTCAAAACCAGTAAAATCAAATAGATCGCAAATAGACGCAGCTAAGACGAGAGGCTCCAAACCGCTAGGCGGAAAAATGGAACTGAGGGACGGTTAGGCTGGGCGTGCGCAGTAGGGGTAGTCCTAAACATTGTTACTTTTCTCTTGCAGCTAGAAAACGTTCCGAGAGGCCCAACGCTGGCGCTGGTATTAACCCTTTGTGTGCACTCACAGAAGACCACGATGAAGAACTAAAAGTATTGGCTATGTTTAGCGTTGAGAAAAGAAGATTGAGGGGAGATACGATAGCACTTTTCAAATACTTGAAAGGTAGTCATACAGAGGAGGGACTGGATGTGTTCTCCAACCTCTCAGGGTACAGGACATGTAATAATGGCTTCAAGTTACAGAAAACCAGATTTTGGCTGAATATCAGGAAAAACCTCCTAACTGTTAGAGTAGCATGACAACGAAACCAATTACCCCAGGAGGTAGTAAGTGTCATCTGACAGATATACCTCAACCTGATGGCCTCACAGGCCCCTTCCAACTCCATTGCTCTACGATTCTATCATAGGGGAATTTAAAGAATGAGAAAAATCATGAAACGGAGGCTGGATATGTAAATAGGGAAGGCTTCTCTGAAAGGCTGTTTCAGCTTCTAAAAGAAAACTGATGAACTTCATTTCAGTTGGCTAAAAAAACTTTTTTTTCCCCAGAACAGTATCTTTTACAGGTTCACCTAAATTCAGGGGTCTCAGATAGAGATGGGCACAAACTACGCTCCAGTGGCTCGGTGCAGCCACCACACAGGCGTTCCACAGGCGCCGTGCACTTCCCCCTCCTGCCTCCTTTGGGCAATTGCCCACTCACCAGCAGGAGCATGCGTCTTTCCTCCGCCTCCTCCAGCAATCGCCCACTCAGACAAGGAGGTGGGGCAAAGAAGCTTGGGCTGCTGCCAGTGAGTGGGTGAACCTCCATCTCTCATCACAGAGCCCTGCTGGATGAGGCCAAGGGCCCATCTGGTCTGGCTTCCTGCATCTCACGGGGGCCCCACCAGATGCCTCTGGGAGCACACGAGACAACTACCCTGTCTCCCCAAAAGTAAGACCTAGACTGAAAATAAGCCCTAGTATGATTTTTCAAGGTGCTCATAATATACGCCCTAACCCCCCAAAAGAAGCCCCAGTTAAGTGAAACCTCGCCCTCCACCAGAGACTCATTGTGCAGCAACCGGATGATGATATGATTGTATTTGAATAAATCTAGACTGTTGTACATGAATAAAAAACTTCCCCTGAAAATAAACCCCAATGTGTTTTTTGGAGCAAAAATTAATATAAGACCCTGTCTTATTTTTGGGAAAACACGGTAGATACCTGTCTCCTGATACCCTTTCCCTCCATCTGGCATTTGGGAGGTACCCTTCCCCTTTAAAGCCTGGCGATTATACATCCCCATCATGGCCTGTAATCTGTGATGGACTTTTCTTCCAGAAATCGGTCCAATCTCCCTTTCAAGGCATCTGGGCCAGATGCCATCACCACATCCTGTGGCAAGGAGTTCCACAGACTAACAACATACCGGGTAAAGAATTATTTTCTTTGGTCTGTTCTCACTCTCTCAACACTCAATTGGAGTGGACATCCACTGGCTCTGGTACTGAGTAAGAGTGAAAAGAGCTTCTTTCTTTCTTTCTTTCTTTCTTTCTTTCTTTCTTTCTTTCTTTCTTTCTTTCTTTCTTTCTTTCTTTCTTTTTCTTTCTAGCTAGCTAGCTACCTTGCATGCAGTCCCTCTCCTGTTTACCTAAAAGTATTGATCTCTATAATATGTACTGCTGTTGCTCTCGGAGACCAGGTAGAAGGGGCATTTACACACAATCAGCACAGGCTCCTGCACTTCAAGATTAGCCACTGCATGACTAACAACAGTTATTGTAAAGACCAAGTTTCCTCATCAGTACATTGCCTCCACAGCTGTTTATTTTGGAAGGGGACGTTGGGCCTCCTAGGCTGAAAAAAAATACATATGTTTCGGATCTTCTGTTTACCACCCTTTCATCAGAATAGGCAACAGGAAGAGGCCGAGGCGCTGAATACATATCAAGAGAACAGAGGGAGCTGTCCTCCCTCTCCAAAATAAAAATAAATTCTTTTTTTTAATTGGGAAGAATGCACCCTGGTGGAGGATGAGTGCAATCTTGCACTATTTAATGTCCACCTAAAAGAACCAGCAATCACTTCCTGTTTTAAAAACAATGCTCCTCCTTCCCATATCTCTGGAGAGTGGCCCTGAGCCATCCATACTTCACCTGAGGTGGTCCTTGGGGGGGCTGAAGATTCCCACTGATGTAAGCCACAAGACTCCTCTTGTTCCCGCTTGACTGTCACGGCAGGAAACAAGGTTCAGCAGAAAGAGGAAAGAAAATGGCTTTCAGAGGTGAATTCATTTCCCAGCCCAGAGAAGAGGAGAACTGGATTTGGTCATCAATCCCTGCCGTGGCTATGGAAAAAGTGTGGCCCTCCAAATGTTGCTGAACAGCCATGCAGTCAGCCTGCACCAATGGCTATGCTGGTGAGCTGTGATAGATCCTGTAGTTCAAAAACATCTGGAAGGCCAGAATTGCTCCACCCTCGTCTAAAGTTTAGTGAAATAAGTAATTCCCCTCCCTTTCTCCCCACACCTGCATTGGGCTGTAATGGAAGCTCCATTCTCTCCGATATGACTTGATCTGGAAATGATAGCTCTTGCCCAATCCGGGAGATCAAATCCGGTTTGGCCGGTGGAAATCCTACACAGGAATAAAAGAAAGAGGAAGTATTCAGGTGGGACTGAGGATGTGAAGTACGGCTCTGTGTTCAAATCAAGGCAAACAAATCAGTACAGATGCTAGTTCCCAATAGATTCTGTAAGCCCATTCGTTGTCAGCAGGAATATCTGACTGTCTTGTCCAATTTATGTGTTGTGAGATGATCCAGAACAGACTGCTGGCAAACACATTCCTTTCTAGAGGTTGGGGTTCGCTCCTGCGTCAGTTTCCAGGTGGATGTAACAATGACGCTGGCGTCCAGTACATAGTTTGGAGATTAAACCCCACTAGGGTTTACCCAATTCAGATCCCATGACCTGCAGTGATCAAAACAATCTGGAGGAGGAAAGGGAGACTGTTGCAAGAGAGGGAAGACACAAGCTGATGGCAAGTTCGAAAGATCAACCAAGCTGGGCTCAAAATCAGTTGTCAGAAACCTGGTGCGCTTTAAAAAAAATGTCATTAAATTTGTTTCCTGCCGTTTTCTTACCTGTCTGTTAAGAGTTTTGAAAGGGTCAACAGTCATTCAGATCAACAGCAACACAACCATTTAACTAAAACAGCAAACCACATAAAGCCAACAGCAATAAAACAGGAGAACATATAGGGCCATGAGTCCAAAAGGGGAGGGGAAGAAAAACAATTGTGGTTTGCAGGTGGTTTGCATAGCAGCCCACGGACTGACCTCTGTGCAAATGGAACGCTGGAACACATTTGATCTTTTACAGCTAGCCTTGTCTTACATTCTTGCTGTTTTTATTACTATGTATTATACTGGAAGAGTATAGTGGCCCAGTGCTGAGTTTGTGACTTTTGCCCTAGGATATAGAATCTGGGCTCTACCATTATTTTTTAAACGGTACCATTTATTATCTCAGGAAATCCATTTATGGAGGGTGTAGGCAAAAAAGAACTAAGTTTATATATTATATATGTGAGTAAAACCTCACACATAATTGCTCCATTTAGTGATTTGTACACATGCTCCTGCATCCATTTCGGTCCTTCATGGGGACTTGGTCTACCTAAAGAAGATAAGACTGGCTTCTGGGAGACCTGGCCCGAGTGCATCCACTCCAGAGATAGACCAGATCTCCAGAATCTCATTGAAGGCTGATTTGGTTAGGACATCTTTTAAAAAAAAAACTCTTCCAGAGGCCATTATGGAGCCCTCATGTACTGCTATCTCTACCTAGTGGAGAGAAGCAACAGACAAGCAATGCTATTAGAGGAAGGGTGTAAGCTTAAGAGTACCAATCTTCATGTACCAATCTTCTCTCAGACAAGAGAAAGAGGAAACACCTAGGCGACTTGTCTGCCTATTTCACACATCCCACCCACCCCTCGCTTCAGAGCAATTCATACATGCACTGGCGCTCAACTTCCAACATTTATAAACTTTCCAATCTTTTGGGGTATACCCAAGAGCACTGGTTGACAACAAAGTGAACAGAATGCTGGATTAAGAAGGATTTTAGTCTGATCCAGGAAGAATCTTTTTACATATTTACACTGTTTTCTACATCCATATTAAAAGTTAGTAAAACGGGGGTGGGGACGGCGAGCGTCTGCAAGGAACTATGGTTAGATGGTGCCAGAATAAGCAATTCTGAAATATTTACTTTCACCTTCAGGAACTTATAAGATATTAGAGCAAGGATGCTGAGCCTGTGGAAGCCCTGAACACAGTGATGGCCTTAGGTTGATGTGGTTGGTTTTGGACCACCTCTGGAGGGCTGGAGAGGTTCCTTCTCCCTCTGCCAAAAGCTCAATCAAGCAAATAATACAATCTAAAACCACCACCACCACCTCATTCTGAAGGAAATCAAGCCGGAGTGCTCACTGGAAGGACAGATCCTCAAGCTGAGGCTCCAATACTTTGGCCATCTCATGAGAAGAGAAGACTCCCTGAAAAAGACCCTGATGTTGGGAAAGTGTGAGGGGAAGAGGAGAAGGTGATGACACAGGACGAGATGGCTGGACAGTGTCATCGAAGCTACCAACATGAATTTCACCCAATTCTGGGAGGCAGTAGAAGACAGGAGGGCCTGGTGTGCTCTGGTCCATGGGGTCACAAAGAGTCAGACACGACTTGACAAAATAACAAAATACATAAAAGGTCAACGAAGAGGCAGACACGACTAAACAACTAAACAACAACAACCTCCAACACATAAATAAACAACACTTCGTGTACTTGTTGTGATCCAAAAACCTGTGGCCAACTTTATGACTGTGAACTTCGGGGGGGGGTGTGTGTGCGCATGGCAACCCTTTTGAACCCAGCCCGGATTTCACTGCGGTCCTCTGTGGCCAAATCCTGTCTCTGAGATGACTGCCCGTTTAGGGGGTGCAAACAGACAAGCAGAGAGTTGAAGGGGAAACCATGGGGGGAAAATCACTGAAGGCACAAGGAGATCGCGGTATCTACCTGCACCCCCCCCAACTTCGCACCTCTGCTCACTAGGTCTTGCAGAGGTTTTGCACAAATCTAGGCAGAGGTCCTGCTGAATTAGGAGAGACAATTAGGGGGATCCAGATTACATACAGACTCCGCATGGGAAGCCAACCCTTTCCTGCCAAATTCTTACCCCTTTCACCTCCTTCATAACTTCCAGACGCCGGGCTTAGTTTTCAGGTGGTATCCTGGAAAACACCTCCTTCATCTTGCACCGCCCTTCTGCTGCTTCTATATATATGTGTGTGTGTGTGTGTGTTTTCTCCTAATTTGATGGCAAGCCCTCTTTTCACTTCCTGTCATGTGACTGAAGCCAAGCCAGGTTCCTTGGCAAGGAAATTTAAGCCATGAAAGTCGATGGCCAGAGCACACGGATGAAATGGAGGATGATACGTATGGTGATGTTGTGTGATTGAGGTCGCGGAGTGGGGGGGGGTAGCTTTTCAAAGGCAGGATCTGCGGAGGGTGGGGGAGGAACCAATCCTCAGCAAAGAAACTTGTACAGCTTTTTTTTCCCCTTCTGCCTTTTCTTGCTTTTGTTGACCAAACGAATTCCTGCCCATATATTGGGCTGATTTTGGGTTCTAAAGTTCTCTAGGCGTTTGTTGCTTCTTGTTACTGCCAATTTATGGTCTCATTTGTTGGTTGTGCTTGGCAAGGGGTAAGAGGGCGGGTCCCTGCCCCGAAGAGTTTACAACTCCGTTTTGATGGTTCGGAAAAAGACGACCATCCCCTTTCAAAGGGGTCAGAAAGGTGGTGATGCGAAAAGACACCCCCATCCTCCCTCTTATTCTGGAGCATGTTAACAGTGCCATCCCTACCATTAGACACAAGGAGGCAGGTGATTGAAGGCACAGCAGCATGGGTCCTGGTACCAGAAAAATCCAGGAAAGGGTCAAGGAGGATGGGGAGTGGAATCCTTTGTTGTGGTGATGTGCTTGTCTAGTCGCTTCCAGTTTATGTCAACCCTACGAGTGAGCCATCTCCAAAATGTTCTGCCCTCAATAGCCCTGCTCAGCTCTTGTAGCTTCAAAACTGTGGCTTCCTTCAGGGATTCAGTCCATCCAGTACTTGGTCTTCCTCTTTTCCTCCTGCCTTCAACCTTTCCCAGCATTATTGTCTTTCCCAGAGAGTCCTGCCTTCTCTTGATGTACCCAAAGCACGACAGCCTCAGTTTCAGCATTTTCGACTCCAGAGATAGTTCAAGCTTGACTGGATCTAGGACCCACTTGTCCTTCTGGCAGTCCAGAGTACATCCACAATAATCGTCTCCAGCTCATTTCAAGTGAATCAATTTTTTTTCTTGTCCACTTCCTTAACTGTTCAGCTTTCACATATCCATGTATGGTGATTGGAAATACAAGAATGTGGATGGTCTTGGTATCCAGTGACACATCCCTACCCTTGATTATCTTTTCTAGTTCCTTCATTGCTGCCCTTCTAGCAACATAATAAGGCTCAGGGGCTTCCTAAGCTTAGGCAATACAGAACCAAGATAAGATGGAGCATCTTTGCTAGTCCCAGGCACTCCACCACCTCCATCCATTTTGACTGTGAGAGACCAAGCCAACATGTGGCACAAAAGGGGGAATTATAAGCACATTGTATAACGTATTTTCAGATAATGCGCCCCTCTCTTAAGCTAGTACCCCATGTCTGACCATATGAGCTCCACCATAAACAGAAAGATGCTGATATTCCCTCTGCAACACGGAATTCCTCTAAAAACAACTGGCGGCATTCTGTTTTCAGAACAAAATGGAGGGTGCCTTTACCAGCAGTTCTCAACCCGGAGTCCCTAGACTAAAACTTCCAGAAGCATCCACCACTAGCTGTGCTGGCCACAATTTCTGGGAATTGCAGTCCAAGAACATTGGGGGACCCAAGTTTGGGAATCAGAGAGGGTTTAATGGAGCATGAAAACCTCCTTCATAGTATTTGAACTGCAGTCCCAACCTTTCTTTCTTCAATAACCCTGAATGAAGGACAGCCATTGTTCTTACCATAATTTGACAGGAACATTAAGATATCCCCCCTTTTTTGCATGTTAAGAGAAAAAAAGAGGTCAATGTGTCACTTTCTGAACTTTGTAACTGCAGAAGACTGGTTATGTTTCTCAAAGCCAAATAAAACCTGGCATGGTTGTACTGTAGATTCCTTCAGTAGACCACAGATGCCACGTTTTGGGTAGTTGGCTCAACAGATGTCATTTTTGTAAGCAACAGAATTTTGAGGTTTATAATGCAAATCTTTTTTGTGTGTGACTCACCTTCGCTAAAGGGATATTTCCATGCCTTTTTAATTACGTAAGTTATACCTCTATAGCTGTAAATCTTTCCATTTTAGAAGAATTTCATTAACTCATATAATAATTTCTCATCTTGGGACTGTCCTCCTGTTGTTTCACAGCTATTCTCTGGGGAGCCAATGTACTGAAAGGTGCCAAATAGCTCAAAATTGTCTTGATCTACTAAATGCAAGATACAGAAAACACACTGAAGCTGAAACAACCCCAAATGAAACTACAACACAATGCTTTCCAGCAGCTCCTTTGCATTCAGAGTTTTTCAAATAGCAGTTTATTGCTTATTAGCCGGCCAGGCCTCTTGCAAAAGTTACAAAGAAAGAACATGTAATAACAAGGAATTAACAAATCAACCAGACTAAGACTAAACAAACACAAATAATCATTTAATTACAATACCACAATATATGTGTATTTTCATCTGATAAAATATACTACTTCCCCTTCCTCTCAGCCAATCAGCAAATTCAGAAGAGCCTGTGCGTTACAAAACGATCTGCCCCAGACAACATTTTTTTTTTACTTCAGAAAGTAATTCCTCTTAAGACTGGCAGTTAGAAGTTCAATGTGTCCTGTCAGCAGTTCAGAATATAGTAGCAGGCATTACAAAAAAGAAATGAGCCAGACCTTCAGATTCCTAGTACCCAGCTGGGAAAAATCTAACTTGCTTCACGACTGTGACAGTACCATCCTTTCACCTCCACAAAGTGCAATGTATTCAGTCTGCATTTAATTTAAAGTAATTATTTCTTGAATACAAGTAGCAAGGCAACGTAAGAAGAATAACGTGTACAGCACGTCTGGAACATGTGACCACATGCTGTTGTACTGAAGGTCCCATCAGTTTTAGCCAGCATAGCATGTGGTGACAGATAAGGAGTATAGCAGTTCAACAGCATCTAGTGGCCATTTGTTTGCTTCCCCTCCTATAGAGACAGGTATTACCAAATCCAGAACTCTTCTGCTGGGTATTTTCAAAAATCAACTCAAGACCTTGTTATATAGACAGGCCTTCCCTCCAGACACTACCGTACGTAATTCTCTCTCTTTATCTTTATGTATTCTGTTTTGTGTTAATGTTGGAAATTGTTATTTTATATTAATTGTTTTATTACATGTTTTGTGAGCCGCTCAGAGTAGACTATGTCTAAATGGGCGGCATATAAGCTCAATCAATCAATCAATCTGGCCATTGGTGCTGAGATAGTCAGACAATGGCGAGGAATCAGGCCTCCTGCAACATGTGTTGAATCCGTTCATGATGAGATGAGCACAGTGTGGAAACAACTGCATTTCAGTGGTCTATGCTTCTGTCCCCTGATCTTCAAATACCAAAAGGAACAGAGATGACACCTCCCAAAGAACTAGCTTAAGCCCAAAGAGAACTGTCAGCTTCCCTACTAATATTTCTGCAGAATTGGTCTGGCAATAGTTTAGCTTTAAAAGCTCAAGGTAAGGAACCCCAAACCCAATCCCTTACATGTCCACAAAACAGCAAATGGTATCTCCAGTCATCTCCAGTCATGCAATCATTTTCCTAAGGGGTACATCCGAACCTTTTCAGCATCTGCTCCAAAATATTTAGATAAGACAGCTTGATAGGACAGGTGGCTGTCCAACTGCCATTGGTGTTTCTTCCTTCTTTTCCTAACAAAGCCATTTTGTGGATGCTTTCTGAAAAATTAACTTGCAAACATGACACAACGAAAGGAAGGGGAAAGGAAACGAGTGGAGGAGAGACGGAGGACAACCAGAAAACAGTAACAGTAGCAAAGGGAAGGGACAACAATGATAAGTTAAATATTTATCTTATTGTATGCACTGTGTATACATATGTGTGTGTGTCTCTATGTATGTATTTATTTTATGTGTGTATGTGTACACATATATACAGTCCATGCATGTGTAGGTGACCATCTAGAAGATATCAATTCAAATAGTGTACAGAGAGTGCAGTGAAATTGTCCTCGAGTGATGGATTCTCTGCCAATCAGTCAAGAGTCTGAAGTGAGCTCGCAAACTCCTAGTGTTTGCACAGCTTTACTCTTAAAGGGACAACTCTGATCATTCACCATTCGAAACTGGGGATAAAAAAACAAATCTCAAACTCTATGGATTCGACGTATTTCATTCCAGAGTGGAATGGTTTTGCCAAGTTTTATTGTTCTCAAAAAAGCATCTCTCAAATTCAGAAAACTGACAGCATATATCTCTTGAGTGGAGAGATTCTCTTGTTCCTTATTCAGCCTGAGGGGGTCTTCAATACAGGACGAACAGGGTTTATTCACCTCAATTAATTATCAGAAGTGAGTGGAAGGATTTACTGCACTCCCTCTGCTTGTCTCTCCTGCATAAGATCTCTGGTGCATCACACAGCTTGAATCCTGAGCAAAACTTTTTCCTCACTCCTGGCATTCAAATGGTTTCTTCCCTATACAGACACTTGTATTACAAAACAACAAAGACCTCATACACTATTACAGTGCAAAATAAATCCACCATAACATGTGAAATAGTAAAAATGTACATGCACATTATAGCACATAAATCTTAAACTGTTGTTTTCTAATCCATTTCCATATGGGCAAAGATGGACAAAGTTCTTACATCCCCCCATGTTTGAAAGTCTTTGATTTATTAGAAAAAGTGCACAAATGGCTAATTGAAAAGCTCATCTAAAGATACTAAATCTTAGGAAAATGCTTCCTATTGAAACAGAGGTTGGATGTCTGTCTGTCTGTCACGGATCGTTTAGCTGTTGATTCCCTTCTTTGCCTTTCACGGCCCCTTCAGCTTTTTAATTCTGTGGTTCTAATTCTCTTGCAAACGTTCTGCACGTCAAGGTCAGTCTGGATTTCTTAGGTTCAAACGGATCCCTTGAAGAATTCGACCAAGGAACTAGTCTTGAAACAGCACAGAACTGGCCAATATAAGATCGGCCATATGCTACAGAGCTGGATTCAAAACTAACACCATGCAGTCACTAAGGCATCAGAAAAAAAAGTAGAACTCATTTTAGGGAGAAAGATTACAGTTCACTGAGCATTAACACTTTTCAAACACCCGATCTATTTATTTATTTAATTTTATACCACCCCATTAGTGTGATTCTCTCTCCTATAGCCACACTGACACATGTGGAAGGGGGTCTCATTCATTACCAACAAAGGACCTCCCTTCCATTGGTGAGCTTTCAGAATACATTTTCCCCACTGGTACATTCATTCAACCTGGAACTGACCAGATTTCTTTATGACCCAGTGGCCAGAATCCTATTAGAAGTTACATCCACAATGTGACTTAGCTGACGTGGATCAGAACTGCAAGCCATTGCCAAGTGAGGAAGTCAGTGAGGGCATTTTCTACTGTACACAATTGTGTGACCCAGTACACAACAGCAAATACCTCTGCTGACCTCTTGTGAGGCCATTAGAATTTACAGTTGGAATTTTCACAGGTAGACCTGTGCCAGCGTCATTTTCTAACTAGATTCTGGTCTCTGGAATAGAAGAAATTAAGCTAAAATAGACTTCTGGTCTCCGCACCCTTTATTTGATTTTCCTTTAATTGATGTGTTAACATGTATGTGTATCTCGGAAAAAGAAATCAGCAAAACATAATTTGTTGAATTCCATGTCTATCACAATGCGTGATTGTCATGTGATTATAAATATGTGCCTGCTTCCATACATGAAACATTTGGCATATTTTACATGAAATGGTGGATTTATACTACCTTTGTTCAGTTGTACTTATAGCCCCTCTTAACTTGAGCACTACTTCTTCCCTGCATGGACCCGCTGGTGGCTCTCAAGGCGTGAACGGGAAGCAAAACACTTCCCACAGTCCTCACATCTGTGTGGTTTCTCTCCTGTATGGAATTTCTGATGATTCACCAGGCCAGAACGGAAAGGAAAGCATTTTCCACAGTCCTGGCATTTGTGTGGTTTCTCTCCTGTGTGGAGTCTCTGGTGCTTCCCAAAGTCTGACTTATAAGCAAAAGATTTCCCACATTCCTGGCATTTGTAGGGTTTCTCTCCTGTGTGTACTCTCTGGTGTGTAAGAAGTTGCGGATTGCAAGGAAAGCATTTCCCACACTGCTGGCATTTGAAGGGTTTCTCTCCTGTGTGGACTTTGTGATGTGTCACAAGGTGCGACCTCCGAGCAAAACATTTGCCACACTCCTGACATCTGTAGGGCTTTTCTCCTGTGTGCACTCTCTGATGCTGGTCAAGATTTGATTTATCAGAAAAACACTTCCCACATTCCTGGCATTTGTAGGGTTTCTCTCCTGTGTGAACCTTCTGATGCCTGACAAGTTCTGATTTCTGAGCAAAACATTTTCCACATTCCTGACATTGATAAGGTTTCTCTCCTGTGTGGACTCTCTTATGGCTCATAAGGGCTGTACGGAAAGCAAAGCATCTTCCACACTCCTGGCATTTATATGGTTTCTCTCCTGTGTGAACTCTCCCATGGCATATAAGTGCTGAACGGAAAGAAAAACATTTCCCACACTCTTGACATTTATAGGGTTTCTCTCCTGTGTGTACCCTCTGGTGGTTCATAACATCAGCCCTGGAAGTAAATCCTTTCCCACACTCCTGGCACTGGAATGGTTTCTCTCCCAGATGGAGTCCCTGATGAGTCACAAGCTTTGAACTCTGAGCAAAGCATTTCCCACATTCCTGACATTTGTATGGTTTCTCTCCTGTGTGGACTCTCTGGTGGATCACAAGATCTGAATTGCGAGCAAAACATTTCCCACATTCCTGACATTTGTAGGGTTTCTCTCCTGTGTGGACTCTCTGGTGGATCACAAGGTCTGAATTGCGAGCAAAACACTTCCCACACTCCTGACACGAGTGTGGCTTCTCTCCCGTGTGGACTCTCTGATGCATCATGAAGTGTGAATTGCGAGTAAAACATTTCCCACAGTCTTGGCATTTGTATGGCCTCTCTCCTATGTGGGCTCTCTGGTGGCTTCCAAGATGTGAATTATGAGCAAAACATTTCCCACATTCCTGGCATTTGTACGGTTTCTCTCCTATATGGACCCTCTGATGAAACGTTAGCACCATCTTTTGAGCAAATTGTTTCCCACACACGGCACATTTGTAGGGCTCCTCTCGAGGGCAACGTGCCACCCGCTTTTCCGTATGGGTTCGCTGGTGTCTGATGAGATCCCATTTGTATGTAAAAGACTTCCCACAGTGGGCGCACACATTCGAATCCTTCAAGTTATCTGATGGAAAGAAGGACAAAGACAAATAATATGAAATAAGAAGACTGGGAGAGAAGAGAGTGGGAGGGAGCAGAAAAGAGAAAGGAAAAATGTTATACTTACAAAAAATGAAGGTCATGAAATAAAAGAGTGATTCTTTTCCCAAAAAAAGGGGGAGAACAGCACTTGGTTTTCACTTCATAGCGAACCAATGTCTATGACACATTTTTTTAGGCTCCATGCAAAAATCTATATTCTACCAGGTATTTTTTTAAATGTTACATTTAGATCGTAGGTTTCTTCATTTTGCTATTGATTTTATTTCACTTTGACATTACTTACTAATGGTTTTCAGTTTTATTGAATTTTGTATTATGTTCTCTCTTTAGTCACTGACTCACTGTTTCAGTTTGGTATTTTGATGAATTTTACCCAGCCCACAGGACCTTATTTGCTGGATATGTGGGAGTGTGTGGATGAGTGTGTTTTAAAAAATAAAAAAGTGAATAAATGTTACTCACAATGGCTCAATGGAAGCATTTCATAGCCAGTATCCTACTGAGCTTTCAGCTAAGCAGGAAGGACCACTGGCATAGTAATTCTTTTAGACCAGATGGGCGGGGTATAAATCAAATAAATAAATAAAATAAATAAAGTAACCACTGTCATTGTGTAAGGGTCAGCCACCATTAAGAAACCGACCTTCCACTTACACAACAGTAATATTTGTTACTACAGATGTTGGTCTTTCTGTTTCAGGGAAACTCAAGAGAATGCTGGGCAGTACACCTGAAGCTCCCCTCTTGATCATCATCATCATCATCGACAATGCAATCATCATCATCATTGACATTGCAATTCCAGGTGATGCCAGAGTTGAAAATAAAGAATTGGAAAAACTAATGAAGTACAGAGACCTGGCAATCGAAGCATCTCACTTGTTGATGAAACACATTTCAGTGGTCCCCATAATCACTGGGGCTTTGGGAACAATATCAAGAAATTTCACACAGTGTTATGTACAGTTGCAGATCTCAGAAATAACACCACCAGAGCTACAAAAAATGGCAATACCGTGTTTCCCCCAAAATAAGACAGGGTCCTATATTAATTTTTGCTCCAAAAATGTATTAGGGCTTATTTTCAGGGGATGTTTTATTTTACAGTCATGTCATCTTCTTCTGGTTGCTGCACAATGGCATAGGGCAGGATTTAACTTAACTGGGGCTTATTTTCAGAGTAGGGCTTATATTACGAGCATCCTGAAAAATCATACTAGGCCTTATTTTCAGGTTAGGTCTTATTTTCAGGGAAACAAGATATTAGGAATAGCACACACACTGCACCGATATTTAACAGATACTTAGGTTTTTGGTTAAAACGTGTATCTGTTATATAACACCAGTTAGTGTTTTTATAATTTTGACTGTGTCTTGGTATTGTTGAATAATATTAATAATGTACCGTCAAGTCAGTTCTGACTTACGCTGACCCTTTTTCAGGGTTTTCTAGGTAAAGAATATTCAGAAGGGATTTACCTTACCTTTCTTCTGGGGACACATTAGGCCGCCCGAGGCCACACAGGCTGCCTATTTTGGGATGCAGAATGGGGGAATTGAACTCCCAACCTCTGGCTCCACAGCCAGACATCTAACTCGCTTTGCTGAATGCAACCCGTTCATCCACAAGATACAACAACCCTTGTTATCTTTTTTGCTGCAACAGATTAAACATGGCTAGCGTTTGGGCAAATACTGATGACAGGGTGATGGTCACTCTCCCTGTGTGCATCAGTCAAACTCAAAAGATACTGTCCATTTCCAGCATGGAGAGGACCATGTTTCCACAGAGGTGTTCAAAGTCAAGGGGTGACCTGATGAAGTGGTGACCTGAATTCAGAATGAATACAGCTGAGTACATAATGAATCAAATCCAGACTCTGAGGGCTAAACATGAGACCCCGGCAGATAAATCCCTAGAGCTTGTTGCCAGGGCTGTAACCAGTCATTTTGGCACCCGAGGCATTGATGTCCTATTAGTGAATCCTGGCTTACACGAGGTTGGCCTACGCAGGGAGAGAACAGAGGAACAGGGAGCCATGCCTGCCTCTTAGTGAGCGGCAGCCATCTTGGTTCTGCTCCAAGTCCCCCTATTCCCAGTTTCTTTTTGCTGAGGAAGAAGTGGCTTTGGAAGGCGTAAGCCCTTTTGGAAGCAAATATCAATGGGGACGCATCAGGGAGCAGAAAAGATCCTGTCACCTTAGCAGGATCCTTTTGTGCTCTCTAGATTTCAGTGCGTGTTCTTCTGTGAAGTCAATTCCCATCCGACATACAGCAATCCTAACAGGGTTTTTGAGGCAATATATTAAAGGAGTGGTTTTATGGGTGCACCTACCCCTCAATCCGTTTTCATGGCTAAGCAACAATTCAAATCCAGATTCCCTGAATCCTAGTCTGTCACTCTATCCACTACCCCGCACTGTCTCATAAGCTCAAAGGCCCAGACACCCTCCCCTAGTTACAGCTCTGACGATTTCCCTCAATATAGAACAGGGTGCCCACGCCTGAATTCTCTTTAACAATTCAAACCCAGATTCCCTGAATCCTACTGTCACTCTATCCACTACCCCACACTGTCTCGTAGGGTCAAAGCCCCAGACACCCTCCCCTAGTTACGGCTCTGATGATTTCCCTCAGTACAGAACAGGGTGCCCACGCCTGAATTCTCTTCACCTCTCCCTGAAACCGGCAGCCAAGCCACCATGACCTTTTAAATCGGGCTGTCTGCATTAGCACTGGACTCAGTGGACCACAGTAGTGTATGTAATTGCACCATTTCCCCATTTCATTTCCCCCCTGGGTGTTCTGCAACTATTGCAAC